GTGTGCGTGCGCGCGGGCGTGCGTGCGTGTGTGTGTAAAAAATGTATAAAAAAAATTATTACTAAACAGTGGCGATCTCGCGCGGATAGGCGTGAAGTAAATGCGTGGCGCAATGTGCATCAATAACTGCCCGCATGTATTCAAAAATGTGTAAAAATATTAATCCGAAACAGCCGGAATGTGCTACTAAACAGCGAAATGTGGTACTAACTATGGCGAATGTCGTGCGGCAGATATAGGTCAGAATGTGCGCATGCGCATCAATGAACTCCGCAAGTGCTAGTCAAAATGTGTAAAAATATATACTAAATCACTCGGCGAAATGTTGCTGCGAACAGTGAAATGTGCTACTAAACACTCTGACAGCGGGAATGGTGCGATGACAATAAACTGCGCGGTCCATCACTGTATCAAAATTCGTTTTGTAATAAAAATATATACTCCAAATCAGTCGCGAAAGTTCGTCACTCTAAACCCAGCGCATCTCTGCCTACTAACAGCGAAATTGTGGCGGAACTAGGTAAGGAATTGTGGCGCCAAATGTGCGTCAATCACACTGCGCGCAAGCTAATCATAAATTCGTAAAAATATTATATCTAAATTCCCACGCGAATGTGCTACAAAGTCCAGTGGAAATTGTGGCTACTAAATCTCGCCAGCGGAATGTGGACATCAAATGCCGCCAATGTTACAAATGTGTAAAATATTATCCTATCCATCCACGAAAGTGCTTCAGTCTAAGACAGCGCACAATTGCTACTTCAAATCTCCAGGTCTTGCTGCCTCTCACACGAATGCACGGCGGCAGACTAGCATCTAACCGCGCCAACGTACTAATAATCTGTAAAACAGTGTTTATACAACAGAGCGTAGGGAGAATGTGCCTACTGGAAACAGCGAAATGTGTAGCTAAAGCCAAGGCGGAGTGTGCGAGCGATAAGTGGTGTAATAAGTGGCCGGCAATTGAGTGCATATCAATAACTGCGCGTAAATCAGTATCAATAATTGGACACCGGTCACAGTAGTGTAATACTGCGAAAACGTGTCCAATTCATGCCGTACCATTACGCAAATGTCAGCTTACCTACTAGCTATAGTACGGTAGCTATACTCAGATTCACCTGTTCTTGTTGTTGGTTTTCATATGCATGCAAGATGGCTCTCTGGCCCGAATGTGGACTCAGTGGGGCGATTCACGTCGAAACAGGTACAACTGTAGTGGTGTAGCCGGTTAGAATGTTCGTATGGCATGATGTCATTGATTGTCTACAATCGGGCTCCTGCGGCTGGTCTCCCTCTCTCTCTCTCATTCTCCCTCTCTCTATATATATATATATATATATATCTATATAGTATTTCAGAGGCTAATAAACACCTATTATTTAACACATGGGGGTATATAAACAGCCAGGTATTTTATTAGCCGTCTTTGAATATATTAATACATGAATAAAATCGGGCAATGCGAGTTTTATATGGTTTCAGCGATGCATTTTGCTTATTTACGAAAACATTGATAGTTCAACATAAGGCGGTGATTCACTACTAAACGGTACTAAAATAACACATTTTGAATTTTAAATTGTCTTGATTCCTTGATAAAGCGATGAAATTTATTCAGCATCTCATGGAATAGTTGGCTTCCATTCCTTGAACATATGAGTAATATAATACTATGAGCATATGAGATATGAGATGTACATATGAGAATACATAAACATATAAGTGAACGCGAGTGAGCCCGTTATTTTCTGACGAGAGTTCACACCGCTGGGTAGAGGGCGTCACCATGTCATAATAACGAGTATAGCTCGAGCAGTTACGTGAATAATTTATTCATTCCTCATGTACATTTATACATTTATTAAATGTAGAAGTGAATTATTCTGGTGTACGCGTCATCTACAAAATGTTAACCATGTACAAATTACGATTAAATTTTTAAATGTTTTTGTATTCAGCAACTGTACTCCGTTATGGTTTTTAATGAAGTCTATGAACAGGGAGCGCTTCTGTATTGAACCTATCAGCAACCGAGTGAGGAACATGGAATTCCTTCACGAGTAAATGCATCACTCAGTGGTGGACATCTCACAGATAATGATTAGTGCGCACATATAGCCGAGATCAAAACTGACTCCTATTGGTATAATAAACCCCTGTACTGCACACGATTTTTAAGAAATGATTGCGGGAAATAAGAATAGCAGATGTAGCATTTATGCGTCACGTGTATTAGTACAGGAGCTAAGGGGTGAAAAGGATATAAGATCGGGTACCCATCTCCATCGGCATGGTATCTGGGCGCCATATTGAATTTCAAAATTGTATATATATACTCACAGCTCTGTGACGATGGCCATATCTTTGCCCTTGGAGAAGGCGTCGTTGGCCTGTAGTAGCATCGGGTGGTGTAGTTGGTTCATGATGTCCACCTCGTCTCGGACTGCTTGCCTCGAGCTCTTCTTCACGGCGTTAACCAGCTTACAAGCGTACTCTCTGTTCGTTGTCTTATCCACGCACTTGTATACGGTGCTGAAGCGTCCTCTTCATTTATACCGAACATACATATTCGTGTTTATACATAAAATAACACAGGCGTTGATATAACAGCGACAGTATTCGTAAAACAGCGTATGACGATATGTGGTTCTGATTCGATTTGCTGTTGATCAATTATCATTTCACCATAACATGCACTGAGTTCATGTAGGTAATCTATATGTGCAATTAGTATATAAGTAATATAAGGAGTGAATGATGACGATTTGTGTTTTACTCAATTCTGGTATTATCGTTAAACTATACTTTGATATAGTTCTATGATAATTAGATTTGATTGCACATACTTGGCAATTTCCTCTTTAATTTCATATTTGTCCTTGATGTGCGTATCCTCCTGAATGAGCACCGTCTGTGGCTCAAAAGGCCATTCTTCTTCTACAAACACATTCATATACATATACATCAAGAGTCATTAAAAATAAACTTGTTTTTACTCAATCCTGATTTACTTGCTCACTCACGCAAACGTAGACGCACACGCACACGCGCACGAACACGCACATTCACAAATGCGCGCTCACACACACACACACACACACACACACACACACACACACACACACAC